TTTCCATTGACTCATTTTTATCCTAAATTTTCTATAGTATCACTCTGCTTTATTGTAAATCTTGTACAATATCATAGATTGTTGCAATATGTGAAGGTGGGGGTTCGCGAGAGATTTTGGTCTGTGTGCCTGACAAATATCCTCTTTATGACGCCTGTTTTAGGCGGTGAGAAACATGGAAAATGTTCAAGCAAAAAAGCGGATTATGTCGCCCCAAATTTGTATCCTTTATTATTATTATTATTGTATACGTTTGTATTATTATTATTATTGTATCCGTGTTTACATGTTTGTAAAATTAATAAAATTTATAAAACAATTTTCTTAAATAAAAATCATTAAGTGACTTTTCTCTTCTTTCACTTGAAAGAAACAGTTCATCACCAACGACATTTAACACCTACAATACGAATAATTCGTGCATTTTAGGGAAAAAAATTAGCACGCTCGCAAACGTGTCCTAACATCATCATAATTCTGTTGCTATTCTAAATATGTACAATCGCATTTGTAACGCGAATAACATGTAGTTTTTTTACCCCATGTCCAAATGTTATGGAAGATACCAATATTGCACATAGAAAGCTACATACTATTCACATGGTTGTTCTAGTAGAAAGTTCATGACACGTTTCATGAATGTACTGCAAACACAAATGATTAATGCGAAATGAAAAAAAAAAAAAAAAAAAAAAAATCGACATAATTTCATCTGAAAAAATATGCAGGAACTTTTAAATATTTTTTTTTTTTGAAATTCTAAATAACTTACATTTAATAAGCAGAATACAGTTTTTAAGTAACATTATTTTATCTATTTTTGAAATACAAGCCTTACGAACTGTCTTTACAGTACATATTTAATGAAAATGTTTTCTATAACTAATACTGCGGCAAAATAAAAGAGATTGAAGTGAAGTTTATGGAAAATGAATAATTTGACGGTTGCCTGAAACCTAGGTAATATATTAGTAAAAATGTGAGTAGCATGTACTTTATAGCACACGCTCCAAATGTTTTAACGAAGAAACATGGTACAACACGGCAGTTTTATATATTAAAATGTACAGAAAAATACAGGTGTAACAAGCACGTCATGTAGAATGCGCTTGATAGCATGCAGTGAGCCATCCGAAAATTACCAATGGATGCTCTGAAAAGAACATCCTAAGAAACACGGTGTAATTAGCTTTAGCGTGTCATGTATAAAGTAATTTATACCACATTTTTTTTTTTATTAACGTGCTTCGCTCTTAGGCACTACACGGAAGGGAGATGCCTTCCTGGAGGGCTTCCTAAGGGAAATTGGCTCGTATACACGTTACACATGGGAAAAACCACGAAAGCGCCCATGCAGCCAGCCCGTTCGCGGGAATCGAACCTCGGACCGAACTACCAGTATCCAGCGAGTTTACCGCTCGGCCGCTGGGGGCCTATAGCACATGCTGAGAACGTTTTTGAAAAATACCAGTATTGTATTTCTAAATGTACGTTATAAGAATATAGTTGTAACACACACTTCTTCAGCACATCATGCAGAACGTACTTTATAGTATGTCTGGGAACGTTTCGAAAAAAACCAGTGTTGTACTTTAAAATGCATGTCCGAAGAACACGGTTATAATACGCACAGCTTTACCACGTCCTGTAGAACGTACTTTAGCACATGATCAGAACGTTCCAAAAAGTATAAGTGTTGTACGTTGAAATATGTGTTCTGAGAACACTGTTATAATGCGCACCTCTTTAGCACGTCGTTTAGAACGTTTTTCATAGCACATGTTGAGAACGTTTCGAAAAGTACCAGAATGTACGTTGAAATATACGTCCTAAAAACACGGTGATAATACGCACCGTTTTAGCACGTAATTTAGAACGTTTTTCCCAGTACATGTTGAGAACGTTTCGAAATGTACCAGGATTGTACGTTGAAATGTACGTTTTAAGAACACGGTTATAATACTCACCGCTTTAGCACGTCGTTTAGAACGTATTTTCTAGCACATGTTGAGAACATTTCGAAAAGTACCAGTGTTGTACGTTGAAATATACGTCCTAAGAACACGGTTATAATACACACCGTTTTAGCACGTAATTTAGAACGTTTTTCCCAGTACATGTTGAGAACGTTTCGAAATGTACCAGGATTATACGTTGAAATGTGCGTTTTAAGAACACGGTTATAATACGCACCGCTTTAGCACGTCGTTTAGAACGTATTTTCCAGCACATGTTGAGAACATTTCGAAAAGTACCAGTGTTGTACGTTGAAATATACGTCCTAAGAAACACGGTTATAATACGCACCGTTTTAGCACGTATTTAGAACGTTTTTCCCAGTACATGTTGAGAACGTTTCGAAATGTACCAGGATTGTACGTTGAAATGTGCGTTTTAAGAACACGGTTATAATACGCACCGCTTTAGCACGTCGTTTAGAACGTATTTTCCAGCACATGTTGAGAACGTTTCGAAAAGTACCAGTGTTGTACGTTGAAATATACGTCCTAAGAACCACGGTTATAATACGCACCGCTTTAGCACGTAATTTAGAACGTTTTTCCAGTACATGTTGAGAACGTTTCGAAAAGTACCAGTATTTTACGTTGAAATGTACGTCCTAAGAATACGGTTCTAACATAAACAAATTTAGCACGTTATGTCGAACGTATTTTATAACTCAATCTGGAAACGTTTCAAAAAACACGATTGTTGTACGTCGAAATGTACGTATTAAATACACGGTTGTTACACGCACCACTTTAGCACGTTATGTAGAACGTTCTAAATACACCTAACACCGTTATAGAACGGTATGACACGGACTCTGAACGTTTTCGGAACGTTCCGGTGCTGCTTGGGTTTACTATATAAATTTCAAAAATTCGAGATTTTCAGCTTTGAATGCCATTTAATGATTGCGTTTTTGTAATTTATTAAGGATGTTAATTTCTAATTTTATACATTTAAGACGCCAAAATATTTTTATATAAGTTAATTTGTAATAACTAATAATTCATTATTAATATTCCCATGAAGTTTTATTATTTTAAAATAAAAGACTGGTAATCATGCAAAATGTTCATTTAAAAAATGCTTTTATTTAATGCAAATGCTATTGCGAGTTGGCTGCGTGTGAATTCAAAAGCCTGCCTATATTTTCTAGAACAATACTTCTTTAAGATTTTGAAAATAAGATCTCTGTTTCGGGAGGAAAAAAAAACTATTGATGAATACTTTTCACAATAATCTGAACAGAGATAGATGCTCATATGTTAATCTCTTAATATCTGAAACTTTTTTCTAAACTGATATTTTATTTTTAGCTACGGAAACATTTCGCTCTTTAATATGTCTGAGGCTCTTAAATATGTTCCGCGATGTTAATACAAATATCCTGCTCAAATTTTGCCTTACGAGAGTCAAACATTTTTTGATTCATTTTTAAAAATGACTACAAAATAAATAACATAAATATATATCATCTATATAACATAAATATCTACATAATGGTATCTATATAACATAAATATATATCTATAAGTATAGGAACTAGGAGACTGTATAAAATTGCATGATATACAAAATGAGTTGTTTTCTTAATTTAAAATGCAAAAACATAAATCTTTGTGTCATTTAAAACAATTTTGTAACTGGACGAGCATGTTTACAATCAACGGTTGCGGAAATAAAGGCCGGGTAAAGACTTCTGTGGACGCGGTAATAATAAAATCAGAGTCAGATTAAAAAAGGGCTTCTCGAAAGCATCTCTCCTCTTAGGCAGATAGCTCTAGTGTGCGTTGTCTCATTTAGATAATATAATCGAGTTTGATATTATTATTATTTTAATCCGCATTTTACATACAAACTTAACTCTAAAATTTTAATGCGAATATAAAGCTGAGATCCCCCTTCGAGAAAAAAGATAAATTAAAAATTTTAAGACTACATCCCCTTTCTATATAGTTTTAATGATTTATAACTATATGATAATTTATTATTCCTTTATTTATTTATTATTTTTACTATAAGGATACTTTATTAACTATAATGTACTTTATTAACTTAAAGTATTATAAGTATAACTTATAATACTTTATTAACTATGTAAATAGGATCATTATTAACTATAATTTACATAAATTGGAAGAAGTAGCTTCTAACTATTTTTATAAATCTGTAAATGAAATCATAATCATGTTAATCGCTTAGCTTTTAAGTAATGAAATTGCAAATCTAAAGCATGATTCTTTGGAAACAAAGAAAGGAACAGGAGATAATATTCTAGAAGCAAGGTACTATTAGAAAGAACTACTTGGAAAGTTTTCCTTTATTTCGTGATGTCGAATGTGTGTGTTACGTAACATCGTCAGTAAACTTCGGAAGATATCCACGAGACAGTTTTATGAATAACTTTATTGAATGAACACGAGACTTTTAATGTATTAATGTTTTAATGTCACGAGTTTTTTGTATCCTTTTTTTGTGGATGGCATCAGTTTTAGGCGTTGGCATGCACGTTCTAATCCGTGTTTGCTTAGTGATAGAAGTGTTCTATGAATTAAATGTTGATATGAATGCGAATTGAATTATTATATTGTATTTGTGTTCTGTTTATTGAATAATATCCTAGTTCCTGCTTTACTGTGAAACTGTGAAAATACTGATGTCAAGTATTAACAAAAATGTTTATTCGTCAAGAAACATGTGCAGAATTCGAGTAGATAAGATTTATTTCTTTTTCTATAAATATTGAAATTGTAAACAGATATTCTAATAGTAGACTCACTGTGTCTAATTATTATTAAGGTTTATATACGTATCTATTAAGAACCTGTGCAGAACAACCGTTGACGGGTAGTCTCGGCGTAGTTCTGATATTTTGATAATAATTTTCGTTACAAGTGGCGTCCGTGACAGGACGCAGTGCGGTTTCTGTTAGAATTATTTTGTTGAATGGTATTTTGGGAAGTAAAGCTGGTTTCATTTATCGTTTTATTATGAATCCTTTAACTGTAAAACGCGGAGGACTGCGTTCTTCCTTTACCAAGACTGTTAATGTTTTGAAAAGCGAAATTGGTAAGGATGATTTTTCAGCAGGTATAATTAAAGATAAATTTACAAAGTTGCAAGTGTTACAGAAAGATATTGAGGAACTTAAGGAGCAGATTTTGAATTCTATAATTTCGACTTATGTAACGCCTGAAAAAGTTAACAATGAAATGGAAAGCTGGGATACTTATAAGGATGAATTTATTATGATTTCTCGCTTAGTTAGTGAGAAGTTAGGTGCCTTAGAACAGATAAATTTAGAAACTAGGTCGCAAGGTAGTGTTTCTAGTAATTCACCTCGTAATACTAGATCGTTAAAGCTCCCGAAAATAGAGCTTAAGAAGTTCGATGGAGAATTATTGAACTGGCTTCCGTTTTGGTCTCAGTTCGAAAAAATACACGAGGACCCTGATTTGCACGAAAATGACAAATTTCAGTATCTTGTGCAAAGCAGGAAACAAGGGACGCGCGCTAAAGACTTTATTGGCAGTTACCCAATGTCTGCGAAAAATTATTCAAAAGCTATTAGTGCTCTTAAGGAACATTTTGGGAATCAGGATTTATTAATTGAGGTATACGTGAGAGAGCTTGTAAAGTTGATTGTAACGAATGTTAAGACAGGCAGTAGTGAAAAATTACCATTGCCGCAATTATTTGATAAGATTGAAGCACAACTAAGAGCTCTCGAATCCTTAGATATTAAAATGGAAAGCAATGCTTGTTGGTTATATCCCATGGTAGAATCATGCCTCTCGGAGGAAGTCCTCAGAGCCTGGCAAAGAAGTCCGCTTTTTGGAGAAATAAAGGAAAGTCAGAATATTTCTCGCCTAACTAATTTTAAGAAAATTTTTAAGGTGCGAAGTGGAAGGGGAGGAAAGACTTAAATTAGCGCGGAGTGGATTTGAAATTTTTGGGCAAAAAGACAAGTATTGCAATAAATCGAAAAGGGAATTTAAAGGCAAATTTAAATCGAAACAGTTAACGAATGTACCTACGGCGACAGGTTTCCTTACGACAAAAGATAATAACTGTACTTTTTGCGATAAACTGAATGATAGTAAGGACTGTTACGAAGCACGCTCTCTGTCATTACATGAGAAAAAGAATAAAATTAGGCTTAAGAGATGTTGCCTAAAGTGCCTTTCGCCTGGACATGTTGCTAAGTCGTGTAAACAGTTTGTATGTTGCTATGTGTGTGGTAAGGCTCACACAATTTCTCCTGCCCGAATCTGCAGGTACAGGAAACGCAGGAAAAGGCAACAGAGCCAGATACCGTTCAGACGACTACGGCGGGACAGATGTGTTCCACTGAGGTAGCTCCCATGACAATTAAAGTCAATGTGTTAGGAAATCAGGCAGTGTAGAGTACGAGAGAAGTACGAGCGCTTCTCGATTGCGGATCACAAAAATCATACATTTTGAAGTCTACGGTACAGGAATTAGGACTAATTCCCATTGCCGAGGAAACTGTAGCTCACACGCTTTTTGGAGGGGTTAAAATTGAACCGAACGTACATAAAAAGTATCGGATCAAGCTACGCTCTCTCAATCCTTATATGAGAAAAGAAATGGAATTTGTGTTTTTGGATCAGGAAGCTATATGTGGAAATATAGCACGCGTACCTAAGGGCCCTATTTTAAAAGAATTTAAGCCTAAAAAGATATGGCTTTCAGGCATAGGAACAGGTTGCCCGAAGATAGAGATGCTAATCGGCAGTGACATTTACGGTTCAATTCTTACTTGGAAAGTCAAACAGCTCGATGGAGGTTTGACTGCAATTGACACTACATTAGGATGGACTGTTTGTATATCTACTCTGAATGTAAGTCTGACGTGACGTTTCGGGACCTAAACGTATCCGATCTTTGGAACTTAGAGACAAGAGGAATTTCAGATTCCAGCAGTAATTCTACAAAGAACGCGGAAGAAGATATTGCTTGTGAACAATTTTTAGGCTCCTTTGGTAGAAATGAAGACCAAAGTCACATAGCAGAAAAGCTTCGAAATTCTTTTTATGTCGATAATTGTGTCACGTCTCTTGACACAGAGGAAGAGTTGAAGGATTTTATGGATAAATCAATTGACATTTTGGCAGAAGCTAAGATGGACCTACGGATGTGGATATTCGGTCCTATAAACGACGTTAATACAATTTCGAGGTATGATAATTCGGAATCTCTTTCTGAGAATCAGATTTCAGTCTTGGGTATTCTATGGGACAGAACGGATGATAGCCTTTCTATTCATATTAAGCCTGTGCGAAATCTAGACAACCTGTCAAAAAGAGGGATTTTGTCATTAACACAGGGGATTTTCGATCCGCTAGGGTTCTTAGCTCCTGTATTATTACCGGCTAAGTTATTGATTCAAGAAGTTTGGTCTATTAAAGCAGATTGGGATTCTCCACTGTCAGAAGAGGTCAAACAAAAATTTTTTGAAATGGTACTGTGAATTACAGATCTTATCAGATTTGAAAATATCCCGCAGAAAACAGGATATGGAAACAAACAAACTTGGACTTTGCATGTTTTTTGTGACTCGAGCCAGAGAGCTTACGCGACCGTGATTTTCTTACGCTGTGAAAACAATGGTGACACATGTGTAAATTTTCTGATCGCAAAATCTCGTGTTGCACCTTTAAAAAAGATGACAATACCACATCTTGAACTTTTAGCATGTGTTTTAGGAGAACGTCTAGCGAAGTATGTTGTAGAGGCATTATCCTTAGACGAAATTGAAAAACATTACTGGTCTGATTCCACCACAGCTCTGTCATGGATCAAGCGCAATGATCAATGGGGAACTTTTGTAGGAAATCGTGTCAAAGAGATTTGTGCACTTTCAGAGGAAAGTCAGTGGTCTTACGTGCCAAGCCAGTTAAATCCAGCTGATATACCATCTCGTGGTTGTACCCCTCATCAAATTCTAAAGAATTCATGGTGGGAGGGTCCTAACTGGTTAAAGAATCCGAAGTATAGTTGGCCACGCCTTGAAATTAAACCCAATGAGGCATTAATTTCTTCCGAAATCAGAAAGAAAACTGTAGTATTAAACGTTAGTGTGAGTACTGATACATCTAAGTGGTATGAAAAATATTCTAAATTTTCAGCAATTGTAAAAATTTTAGCATGGGTTCTAAGATTTATTAGAAGCTGTAAGGCAAAATCTGTAAATAGAGCAAAATTCTTGTCTGCAGCCGAGTTAAAAGATTCAAAAAACACTTTGAGTCTACAAGTTCAACGTGAAAGTTTTTCTCAGACTGGAGATGTAATAAATGGTCTTTCAGTCGTCAGAGATGAAATAGGACTGATAAGAGTGAAAACAAAGATTCTCGCAAGAGATGATGAATTTGGATTTAAATATCCAATTCTACTTCCGTCAAAGCATCATATTGTGCAAAGTCTAGTGCTCGAATACCATAAAAAGAATTCTCATGCCGGTGTTCAAATGCTCATGTCAATGATTAGAGAAGAATATTGGATTATTTCAGCTAGACAAACAATTAGATCAATAATCAAGAAATGCATTACCTGCAAGAGATTCACAACAAAGTCACCTTCAACCATACCTATTCATTTACCTTTAGACAGAGTACGGGAAGCTCGAACTTTCGAAGTCACCAGAATTGACTTGTGTGGTCCCCTTATTCTTAGGAAAAGGACTAAAGCCTGGGTGGTGCTGTTTACATGTGCAGTCTACAGAGCAATACATTTGGAGATCGTGACATCCTTAAGTGCAGATTGCTGTGCACTCGCGTTGAGAAGATTCATCGCTTGACGAGGCCGTCCGAGAGTTATCTATAGTGACAACGGAACGAACTTTATCGGTGTCTCTGGTGCATTGAACCAAATTGAGTGGCAAAAGATAGCTGCTCTTGAAACTCTAAATCCAAATAACTGGAAATTCATTCCCCCAACCGCAGCATGGTGGAGCGGTTGGTGGGAGAGACTAATTCGCATAGTTAAAATTCTACTTGTTCGAGTTCTTGGTAAGTCGTCTGTTACGTATGAGGAACTCCTCACAGTTCTTTGCGCCGCAGAAGCCACCGTTAACAACCGCCCGTTAACATACATCTTCAACGATGCAGATGAGTTGAGGCCTCTAACACCATCCAACTTTCTCCAAGATGTAAAAGAGATTGGAACGGCTGATCTTGATGATTTGGATAGGAACAAACTGGTAAAGAGAGAACGTTATTGCCAAGAACTACGTGAACAATTCAGGCGACGATTCCGGAAAGAATACTTAGGTCAGTTGGTGCAAAAAGCTGGCACATCTGACAAAATTTTCAAAGTTGGAGAAGTGGTCCTTGTTGGCCCTGAACACCAAAAGAGACTTAATTGGCCACTTGCAGTGATTGAAGAACTGTATTCTGGGAGAGACGGCCATGTGAGAGTCGTCAAAGTCAAAACTCCACTTGGTCATCTCGTTCGTCCAGTCAAAAAAATTTACCCTGTAGAGGTTAATTCTTCTGGGGATCCCATTATACCAGATCAACATACTACTAATGACCCACCAGCAACATCACAGAATGACATTCCAATTCAGAATGATGTTTCAGCAGCTCCTCGGACGTCAAGAAGCAGCAGAGTAATCAAGATACCTAAGAGATTGGGCTACTGAACTTTCGAACTTTGCTGATTTACCTCGAAGGTGGTAAATCAAGGTGGGAGGATGTTACGTAACATCGTCAATAAACTTCGGAAGATATCCACGAGACAGTTTTATGAATAACTTTATTGAATGAACACGAGACTTTTAATGTATTAATGTTTTAATGTCACGAGTTTTTTGTATCCTTTTTTTGTGGATGGCATCAGTTTTAGGCGTTGCCATGCACGTTCTAATCCGTGTTTGCTTAGTGATAGAAGTGTTCTATGAATTTAATATTGATATGAATGCGAATTGAATTATTATAATGTATTTGTGTTCTGTTTATTGAATAATATCCTAGTTCCTGCTTTACTGTGAAACTGTGAAAATACTGATGTCAAATATTAACAAAGATGTTTATTCGTCAAGAAACATGTGCAGAATTCGAGTAGATAAGATTTATTTCTTTTTCAATAAATATTGAAATTGTAAACAGATATTCTAATAGTAGACTCACTGTGTCTAATTATTATTAAGGTTTATATACGTATCTATATATACGTATCTATTACGAACCTGTGCAGAACAACCGTTGACGGGTCGTCTCGGCGTAGTTCTGATATTTTTGATGATAATTTTCGTTACAGTGTGATTCCCTTCTAGTGAATCTAGAAATTTCTAGAAGAAAGATTAGATTGCCTTTTATAGTGAACAAAAATTCCTCCAGAAAGAGGTCATAAACGGGGACTTCTTATTTACTTAGTCATGGTGACGTCACCCAATAATGTATAAATTCCAATCCCTCATTTCGAAAAGGAAAGAGGTCAGAGTGAACGGACAGCAGCAGTCATGTAGTAGGGAACGAATGAAGTCGGAGTTAGGACTCAAAATACCCCCTGTTTCGATAGGACAATGACATGGACGTGCAAATAGGAAGCCCCAGCCACATCAAAGAAACTGAACCTCCAAAAAGCTCAGTTTCTGTAAGAGTCGTTCGTCGAGGTTTGCGTAGGAGATGACTTGTGACCAGGACTATTCCAAGACACATGTTTGATGCTCTCATAATAGTAAATGAATACCTAAAATATATAGGTGCTAAGTAAAAGTGAATGTCTAAAGGAGTATAAGTTCTAAGAGAAAGCGGGTGATTGTACGAATTAAGATTATGAGGAAATCTATGCTCTTTTGTTTCTGGCTAACCATAATATTATGCCAATACAACTCAATAAGTTAGTAAAAGTAAATTTTCACTGAAAAGTGTCCTTGATAAAAGAATTGACTGGCGTCACAAATGCACTCTAAGACTAGAAGCATATAAGAACTATGCCATCATAATTAAATTTTAGGAAAAGTTAAAATTTCATAATATTTTGATGAACGTGGATGTACGAACACAACCGACGAAATTTTCATTTTTGTTCTTTAATGAAATTAAATCATTTTTAACTTAAAACGGAACACAAAAATTGTCTTACCTAACAATCCTCTCGATTTATTGAAAATAATAAATAGATTTATTGAAAATAATTAATATACACTCATTAATATCTAAAATTATTTTATCTCAACCAATCGATATTCAAATACACATTTATCCACGCAGTCTTAAATGTAAAAATGCTACCTGATATTTTAAAATTAATTTACGTTTATGGACGTAATCAAACAAGAACTATAATAAGAAATACAAACAAGAAGTATAATAACGAGAAGTATCGAGTTCTTGATCCATTCGGAATATTAATGCATTTTTAGCAATGAAGCCGCGCTTTAGCCAAAACAAATTGCTTGACTTTGACTAAAAGTACAAATAATCTTGACTTTTCTCCAACGATTTTACTTTCTTACAGTAAACGATAATTCCAACTGTTCAAAACTTTAATTATTTTAGTTTATATAACCGTTTTGTTAGTTTCATGTTAAATATGTAAGAACTTCTTAGTTCCTTGCACAAGTTATTAAATGAGCTTGAAGCAACTGCATTTTCTTCATTATTCTTATTCAGTAAAAAGACTTTTAACATGATAAATGCTTAAAAGCAGAACACATCACATTTTTATTCTAAGCATGCTTGATTTTTTTTTTTTTTTTTTTTTTTTTTTTAGTCCAAAGGGATTTGAATCCCGAAGGACTATTAGTTTCGTTTTGGCATTTTGCGTCGGACTCATAAATGTCGGTTCACTTTTCAAACTGTTGCCACAAAATGTTAGAGTCCTGCATTATATTTGAAGAAATTAAATAATGAAAAATCTGCATAAATGTATGTATATTTCTCGTATTGTGATAAAACAACGGTACATAGAGTCATCGAAGTTTGAATAACGTAATCCTCCAACGAATATGAGCATGAAGGAAGACCAAATTTGAAATTTGAAATTTGTTTTATGATCGATTTCCTATTTTTTAAAACTTTGACGAATTTTTGATTAACAAACTCAAGGATTTCAAAGCGAGCAATGGCAACGTTGTGCAGAAAAAACATTTTTATCTCCAGCGCGTGAGTCTCTGTATCGGAAATTCTAAAGATATGCTCGTTTTAAAACTATTTTGCGATATTGCTGTTGCACTGGATCTTATGGTTTAAGTGCGAGGAACATGATATTTAATAAAGAAAGGTAACACACAAAATGTTAAAAAACGCCCCTTTGGACGTAATTTAAAATCTGAAACATTTCAGATTTTGTTTTTCTTTTTTTAGTCCAAAGGGATTTGAATCCCGAAGGAGTATTAGTTTCGTTTTGGCATTTTGCGTCGGACGGATAAATGTCGGTTTACTTTTCAAACTGTTGCCATAAAATGTTAGAGTCCTGCATTATATTTGAAAAAATTAAATAATGAAAAATCTGCATAAATGTATGTATATTTCTCGTATTGTGATAAAACAACGGTACATAGAGTCATCGAATTTTGAATAACGTAATCCTCCAACGAATATGAGCATGAAGAAGACCAAATTTGAAATTTGAAATTTGTTTTATGATCGATTTCCTATTTTTTAAAACTTTGACGAATTTTTGATTAACAAACTCAAGGATTTCAAAGCGAGCAATGGCAACGTTGTGCAGAAAAAGCATTTTTATCTCCAGCGCGTGAGTCACTGTATCGGAAATTCTAAAGATATGCTCGTTTTAAAACTATTTTGCGATATTGCTGTTGCACTGGATCTTATGGTTTAAGTGCGAAGAACATGATATTTAATAAAGAAAGGTAACACACAAAATGTTAAAAAACGCCCCTTTGGACGTAATTTAAAATCTGAAACACTTCAGATTTTTTTTTTTTTTTTGCTTAATCTGTAATTTATATTCATTAGATTTATGCACAGAATTAAAATAAAAACTAATATATAAAGGTGATAATCTTTTCACGCGTTGTTCAAAAAACTGTTACCAGCAGCAGGACTAAAATTCTGTGCGTAATACTCATAAAAGTGGTGAATATTCTTTTTCTTGAATAATACATATCATGAATTTTCTTCGAGATGAATAATATGATTTGTTGGAAACAAAATTTTGTTATATTCTTTTACATTTAAACTTAAAAAAAAATATTATAATGGGAAAAGATGTGTGAAGATTAAAATGCTCAGATGCATTCCTTTACAGTAGTTGAATTAATTATTATTTGAATTGTTTTAATAATTATTTTATTTTTTGATGTAAGAAGTGAAACAGTCACACGGGGGGGATGTTTTTATTCATATCAACACATTTTAAATCAGTTAAGCTTATCAATTTTATTATGGATGTTCATCATGAAGCTTAGAAATTTCATTATGATTATCTGTTTCAGAATTAAAATTTTCTTGGCAATCAGATTTAATATAAAACACAGTAATCATAATTTAGCACATATTGAACAAAGGGAATGAGCTTTATATTTCGCGTTAAACAATACACGGTATTCATATAAAAAATACTGGCCGAATTACTTTCATTTATAAAAGAATCTTGAAGTTAACTTTTAGATTTAATGAAAGGGAATACTGATAATTTAATTTAATGTTATTAAACATAATAAATGCATACTAAAGCTCATTCACTCAGAACGCAACATCTGATTTTATCAAGTTAATTAAAGTATTCCAGATGCAGCAGATATTTAAGACGCTTTGAAGTATTTTAGCTACAGTTATTGGCAATTATTGATAATATATCAGTAATTTAGGCCCACTGCTGTTTTTTTCTCATTAACTTGAATACCGCTAAATTATCTAGCGGTTATTTTACTGTTTGTGAATAAATCAATTTACCAGTTTTATAAGACAGTATTATGAAATATTAAACACACTCTTAAATAAGATAAGCAAACGAAAAACAAAAAGGCAAAATATCACCATTATTTATACAGTGAAAAAACGATTTCTTGACTAGCAGCAGTCTGAAGTGGTTGAGAGAATTATGGAAAATGATCTGTGAAATGCATATCTTCGTTGTCGCGTTTGTTTACTAGAACTTTACTTCCACGGACGCCCTCTGGCGAAAGAGACGAAAAGTAGTCAGTTGAACGGCTGACGCGTCTAACAGATGTATAACGATAGACCATCTCCGTATAAATTATGCTTGTAATCATTATAACTTGTAAATATTTTGTAGATATCTTTCATATGAATTAAAATTTCTTAAAAAAGTTTATAGCTGTGTTTCGCAGTGAATCGAAGTTCATTATAGAGACGGATACCGACAAGAAGGAAAGTCAGGCAGTTCAGGGCAGCCCTATTTAGAAGGTAAGTGAACTTTCACTTATCTATTTAATGATCTAAAAATTTTAATAGTACAAAGTTGATAAAATTTTTAACATGGCGCCCGAACAGGGACTGCCAGTAACTGCTGTTTTCCTAACTATTGAAACTGTCTTAAATTGATATCAGTTATATAGATGAATACATAAGCATAAATAATTAGTGATTGTGATAGTTGTTGAATTATTGAATATTAAATAATGACGGAATTCATCGATACATTGAAAAGGAAACGCGGCCACATAAGGGCTGCCGTTACAAAATTAATTGGCCGAATCGAAACTGAATT